TCTACTGAGCGCGCAGCGCGGCGCGGCCCCGTGGGTCTGATGTGCGTTCGTTTATGCCGTATAAAACGGACCATGTCCCCGTGGCGCGCTCGCCTGTGGGGGGTTGGGGGGATGGGGGGGGGGGAGCGGGGGTTTGAGTAAACACGCCCAAACAGACGCAGCGTGGCATCGCGCACCCGGTGGGCCTGAAAAAGGCGCGAACATCTGTCCTCTGCCGCGCGGCACGTAAAGACCGCTGTAACGCTTCTCCGTTCCCGACTTGAGTTAAGAAACATCGACGCTGGTCTTTTGCCGTCATCGTGCTTTGGGAAACTCAAGTCGGGAACGGAGAAGTGTTACAGCGGTCGTTATAATTCATAATACTCGGCGGGCCGGATCAAAACGCCCAACGGGCCGGGTCTGGCCCGCGGGCCGTAGTTTGCCCACCCCTGGTCTAGCCCTTCATTAACTTTTGAGCAGTAGAGGGAGCTGTTGCAACTGCAGTTGGAGATATTAGAAATTCCAATAGACCAGAAGGACCACCACAATTTGTTTCGCAGAATCTTCGTTTGTTGCCTAAATTTGAGTCCGATCCAGATACATTTATTTTATTTGAGCGTATTGCGGGAGCAAGAGCTTGGTCAGATTTGGACAGGACTATGTTGTTGAAATGTGTACTTGCAGGTAAAGCTCTTGAGGCTTTTTCAGCACTAAGTGTAGCTGACCGTAAAGTTTATGATAAAGTTAAATCAGTTCTGAAGGTCTACGAGCTTGTGCCGGAGGAATATCGTCAACTCTTTTGTTACAGGAACAAGCTAGATTCACAAACCTATTCGGAGTTGGTTCGTTATTTGACTTCTGCGTTTCATCGTTGGTGTGCAGCTTCTGAAGTTGGCACTTTTGAGGGTCTGTCTAACTTGATTGTGTTGGAACAGTTAAAAGATTCTGTGTCGGACCAGGTTGCTACGTACATTAATGAACGTAAAGTTAAGTCTCCAAGCGATGCAGCAGTCCTTGCAGATGAGTATAGGCGAACACATAAAAGCCATTTTGAGTCGGTGACCTGCACCATACAAGGGTATTTAAACTGCCTCACTAACCCTGCTGTCTCTCTGCTCCTCCAGGTAGGATCCTGGTTTGTTTGTTCCTTTGCAGTTTTACTCAAGTTTCCACTCGGTCATGTTTACACACAGATTCACGCATCCCTGCACTTTACATACGCCGTACATTATGACATTTTCACACCTCATTCCTTTTTCTTTGTTTAAAGTTAATAGTTTGGTTTACAATAAAGAACCTTTTTGATTGGCCCATACCTGTAAACCCGAATTAGTTGACTTTACTCGCAAATCGCGTGGAAACCTTTATTAACTATCTCACTTTAGTTAATAAAGAAATGTTGTTGTATTAACGTGGAACCTTAAGTTTAGTATTTATATTTGTTAGTAGTGTGTCCTCAAAATCATTAGGTAAAACTAGCTATTATGACTTGTTATTGCTACTCATCATTTAACACAATTATTGTATTTTCCTCTAATTTAATTAGCTTTTGATTGGTTTTTAAATGTTATTAAACATTGTTTCAATTCTTGTGGGGATTGTTCCTAATCTTTCAATTAAATTGGATAAAAAAAAAACACCTGTAAATGCTCCAATGCATTTTACTTTTAAGAAAAATGGCCAAACACTGCTAATCACAAAGGATCAGTTTCATCTGCCTCAATGAAGGGAGGCCAGAGCATGAACCAACAGACTATCGTATCACAACAATAATAATTCCATCTACATAGACTGATGAAGAAATGAAATATGTATATAACAATGTCCTATGTCCTTCTACAACTCCCCTCAGTTTAAATTTTCACACAAGTCCCATCCTTTAGCACGCTTCCTACAAAATATAAGTGTGTGTGTGTATAGGTGTGTCAGTGTTTGTCTGTGTGTGTGTCTGCGTTTTATGCGTCTGTTTGTCCACCTGTTTTACAGAAAATGAAAGGTTTACCCCACAGGTAAGAAGAAAAAAAATAATTGTCAACAGTTTCTTAAAGTAGACTTGACATCTCTTTACATTGCAAGCTGATTTTTCAAAGTCTGTAGCTTTGGCTTTAGGTCAGTGTGAACTAACAAGAGCAATACCTGTTGGATGAACTGAAATGTGAGCTTCATAGTCTTGGGGTAGTTAAGATGGAGTGCATACATGAGTCCAAACAGAATGCATATTGCTTTGATCTTGAATGTTGTCCATCACGACTTCTCCCTCAATGATGATTTTCAACGAGGCTGGACTGAGATGCTGGAGTATCCCAATGTCAAGGTCACGAAAAGAATCGTCAGATTCCTAAATACAGAAAAACAAGAGCACAATCATTACATTATATTTCTGATTTGAACAAAAAAAAACTTTAATCAGAAGTGTCGTGGTGAAAAATAAATAATAGTAAAAATGATAAAGCAAGAGCTTACTTACAAAGCCTGCTTTGAAGTCTGTGGGGTTGTCCCCAAGGATGATGGGAAGCCCTCTGAGCACCTGTGTCCGGATCGCAGTTGGCTCTGTAGTCTTTTGGGAATTAAACACAGTACCACGTACCAAGTTAGATGGCTAAAATGAAACAAAATGATCTCTAAGAAAGCTTAAACAGGCCGAGCAATGTTTGGAGAGAATTATACAACTAAGAGTAGCATTGTGATGTTTATACCTAACCTAAGAAAAACAATGCCAAGTACATAATGTGTGTGGACTTGCATTGGTCTGTTGTAAAATATGTGTCAACTGTCCAACATTCCCTCTCTTGGATCCAAATAACTCGAGGAGACGAGGACTGATGTTCTCATAGAATTCCGTCTTGAGGTTCTTGCCCACAATCCTGCTGAACTCCATGAACACCTGAAAAATACAGAACAATAAATATCTAAATTTAGATCAACTGGACTATACAAGGCAGCTAAGCCATCTGCGAAGTAGTGCTGTCCTGAAAAACATCCATGAATGTCCTTTTCATACATCTAGACACATAATATAATAGAAAGATAAGTATTTTATGTTCTTTCTTAAACCTACTTGATCTTCAGTGAAAAGGGCAGGCCAGCGTCTCACCATCGTGCTTATGGCAGGTTCTGACTCCTCTACCTCTTCTCAGAGCAAACGTCTGATCCATCTTCTGTTTCACAAGAGGTCCATTTGGTGTTCTCTTCCGCATTTCATCAACCAAGTCTTTACAGGCACCCTGGCCTGATCAAATCCATCAGGAAAGTTGGGCAAGTACTTGATTTCACCTTTGTTTGCCTTCTTGTTAGCTGGTTGTCCTGCTGAATGCACTTCCACAGCATCCTCACACCACAAGAATCTGTAAAACAAAGTGTTTAGGTCAACAACTTAGCACAACAATGTCACTTAAATACAATAAGGTAATAAAACCGAAACAAACCTGTGTTACAGAGAAAACCGGCATGTGAAAAAAGACGTCGGCAGTATTGACGGTAAATACACTACAGAATATTGCATTCTGAACAGGTCCAATATTTGAAAATCGATAATCTTTTTTTTTTTTTAAATTACATTTGTATATCTCCATTTATGTCAAACTCGAGACTTTCAATCATCAACATGCCATTTATTTATATGTATTCGTGTCAAAATGGAATATAATTTTTTTTATATTCAATTTTGCCTGGAAACGCTTCCAATGCTTGCGTGTGGTTCTGGATCCAAGTTTTACTTTCATGTCAAGTAATAATGATTTGCAGCGGCCACTGAGGAGGATCGTGTGTGTGTGTGTGCGTGTGCGTGTGTGCGCGCTACCCTCAGCTTCACCTGGGTTCTTATCTCAACCTGCTTTGCAGCTTCTCGTAGTTGGCACGGAGAATGTTCTTCATATGTGTATAAAAACTCAGCGTCTTTAGTGCTCGGAGACGCCATTTCCACAGAGCACCGTGATACGTGCCTGTGTATTTGACCTCCTGCTTGCAAGCAATAAATGGACTTTTTGCAACTTTGATCATTCATCAAGACTCTGTTTTATCAGACAAATCATTCTCTTCTACCGAGCTTTTATTGAAATATTCCACAACAATTTGGCGTCACGAACAGGATTCACTGACCGTCCCCGTCCGGGGAAAGGGCCCTTTCCAGGATCACCAGCTGATGATCCTGCCTCATACCTGCCTCAAAGGACCGGCAGGAAACCAGAGGAGTCCTGATCGACGTCACGTGTATCCAGCGAAAAACAAATTCTCCAAGATCGTAACATCGCTAGACTACAAGTAGAAGACAGGATTGCTTACGGTAAAGATTTCACTCGGAACAAATTCTCCGAGATCGTAACTCGGATCGCTTGACTACCCGGGTAAAATAAGACCGTTGCTATTGAACGAACGTGAATTCCACCTGTGGAATAAGACCGTGTAAATGGCCTACGTGAATTTTACACTGAAGCAGGTAAAACGGTATCACTGTTATTGTTAACCAAACGTGAGTTCTACTGAATTACCTTTAGAACAAGATCGTGGCAAAATCGAAGCGTGAGTTTTGAGTGGGGTTTTTGGAAAGTGTTTCCTCGAGTAAAGAAACTAAGCCTTACGGTGACGACTGTATTGTAATAAGTAAACCGGTAGGGTCCACCAGTAAAAGATGGGTGGCCAGTCCGCAAAACACACGGAACGTCGGGTCCGATTGTGGCAATGATGCAGCAGAAATACGGGAAAACATGTACCGAGTGTCTCCCATACTGGACAAAAGAGTTTGGGTTCCCAGAAAACGGCTCGTTGAGTGCCGCTAAACTTAAAAGGTTAAGAGGGGATTTGGAAGCAAAGTTAAAAAAATTGAAAAGTGGTAAAAAGATCTAAGTTAAAGACTTGGAAATAATAGAGAAAAAGCAGACATGTCTGGCACAATGGGAAATGGAATGTGAATGCAGGGAGAGAAAACGAATGATCGAAAATGACGTGTTTAAAAACTGAAAAACCTGACATTGAAACACAGAATAATCCATGTGTGTCTTCTCCACTGTATCCATCCCTGACAGGGGCAGGCGGTCCTCTCCTGAACACGTGTTGTCAAATTCCAGACCTGTAACACGCAGTCAAACCCGGCTGGGAGACCAGGGAGGTGCAGACGTCAAACCATGCTCACCCCTCAACCCATTCAGACCTGACCCCACAGCCCAGTCCACCCCGGACTCTGCATGGTCAATCCACGACCCATCCCCCTGGAGGGGCACAGCCGGCAGAATTGTGGATTTTCTTAGTCCTAACACCACCATGAACAGTAAACTGGATGGGTCTTATATTCAAGCCCCCATGTTTCAAGTTCCAGGGCCACAGGATGGACCACCTGCCTCCCATCTGCCCACCATAAAAAATGGCGTGGCTTTTGGAAAAGAGTTCTTGACGTTATGCAAAGACATAACAGACGTCTGTGCTGCTGTGGTTGCGGCCTTCCCAGTCAACATGGCCCTCATCAACAGCACGAAACAAGGTAAAGCCGAAGACGTAACATTTTACTATCAGCGTCTTGTGGCTGCCTGTCATATTCACATCGGCCTCGAGGAGCCCACAGACATAACCAACATGACTGTGTGGGAAACTCATCTCAAGAACGCCTTTATGAACGGGCTTCTGCCAGACGTCAAAACTGCCACTGGACACTCTGTCGTGGGTCTGGAAGATGCAAGGCTCACAAGTCAAGTGGCAAAACATGCACGACACAATTATAAAATGCATGTGGAAAATCAAATGTGTCAAGACAAACGCAGCAAGCAGACTGGGGAGAAAGCCCAGCTTGCGATGCTCCAAGCCGTAAAACAGTTGACACTGGGTGCAGAAGGAGGACGAGACCCCCACCCATCCAGAAATTCTTATGGGAGGGACCAACAGAGGACGAGCGTATGGAATAAATCATGGGAGAAGAGGGTGTTTCCAAGGAGGGGCCCCACGAGAAGTGCAACCCGATGAACGCTTCCTCTGTGGCAAAACAGGACATTGGTACAAAGACTGCCCCTCCCGTTCAAACCTGGTACGTCAGCCACATGGACTGACAGAGGGGGTCAACAATTCGGCACTTCAGACTGACTGTGTGTGTGTGGGATGGAGATTGCACGTGTGAAGGAGTGACTACTGCTGCCTCTCCAAAACAGGGAAGTGAAACACACACGCACACAATGCTGCAATGAAGACCTGCTTCCTCGCACGCACACCCACATACACACGCACACACAATGCTGCAATGAAGACCTGCTTCCTCGCGCGCACACTGCAGAACAACATGCTGTTTTGCTCAGCATCATTTCTCACTTAGAGCAACAGCAACAGAATACATCCACACCACCGCCACTCACGTATGCTATGTTTTCATCAGATGCATACAAAGATATGCCAACTACAAGAGTAATTGTGGAAGGGAAAGAATTGACGTTTTTAGTAGACTCCGGAGCTACTCATTCAGTAATTCAAGAAAAACCTTTTCCAAATCAAAAAATGAGTGGGCGGTATGTATATTCTCAAGGGGCTTCTGGTTTGACTGTGACAGAAAAATTTACTGCACCTATGACGAGTGTACACTCTGACGAGACTGACCTAAACCCTGACATAAAAGTAAAACATTCTTTTTACTCTCTTCACTCTGTCCCATAAATCTGATGGGCAGAGACTTGATGTGTACATGTGGTATTTGTTTGACGTCATCTCCAGACGGCTCTTTTGAAGAGACATTTTTTTGAGGCCCTCAATGATGCAATTGCCTGTTCTACTTTGTACTGGTCAACTTGTAAATCTGCTGTGTCTGTTTCTGTCTCCCACACAGAAAGAACTGTTTCAAGTTCCCGGCTCCTATCCCCATGTCTCACTGTCTAAAGGACGCCTTGACCAATGGAGGGATTTGGGACCATTTGTGGCTCAGTGTGAATCTCTCACTGACTGGGAGGAGACAATCGATCCGCTCGTTCTGCGCTCCGCCTCTACAGGGTTTCACAGAACTCACTGTGTACACGGTGGCGTATTTCTCCGCTAAACTCGACCCTGTCGCTGCAGGACTGCCACAATGTTTGCGCGCTGTGGCCGCGGCTGAAAAGGCGCTCACTGCCCCACGTGACATAGTGGGTTACGCACCGCTCACTCTGCTCGTTCCGCACGCGGTTTCTTTGATTCTCCTCGAACAGAAAACCTCTAACCTCTGTGCGGCTCGCTATTTGCGTTACCACACATTTCTCCTGGACATGCCGAATGTCACTATAAACGTTGTACTAACCTTAACCCTGCATCATTACTTCCTATTCCTGGGGAGGACCACAACTGTTTGGCTGAGCTCCAAGCTCAGTGCACTCCTCGCCCTGACCTAGTGGACACCCCATTGCCTAACGGCGACATGGTAATGTATGTGGATGGATCCGCCTCCCGCGATCCTCAGTCTGGTGAAAATGGTGTTGGTTTTGCTGTTGTTTCTGACTCTGGTGTGCTGTGTTCAGGTCCTCTGCCATGTCACCTCTCAGCCCAGGCAGCCGAGCTCATCGCTCTGACCGAGGCCTGTAAACTGGCTACGGGTAAAACAGTCACAGTTCACACTGACTCTCGCTATGCGTTTGGTGTAGTACATGATTTTGGGGTGCTGTGGAAACACAGGAACTTCCTTAAATCGGACGGTAAGCCCATCCTACATCTCACTCTCATTGCTGAACTGTTGGAATCCATCTTGCTACCCACAGCTATTGCTGTCTGTAAATGTGCTGCCCACACGTCCAATACGGATGATGTATATATGATGCTCGAGCAGACTCTGCTGCAGAAGCTGCTGCTCTGCTTCCGCTTCCCACTACCTGTGCTCTCGTGTGCTCTGAGGAGTCAGTTCCCTCCTCTCTCACAGCGATGCAGTCACGCTCTACCCCTGATGAAAGACTGCTTTGGTCCACATCTGGCTGTGTTTACACCAACGGTATCTGGACTGGACCCGACGGCAAGCCGTGTTTACCTAAACACTATTTTGCTCATTATGCTAAGTTGACTCATGGGTTAGACCATGTGTCAAAAGGGGGAATGTTACGTGCACTTAATGAGACGTGGTTTACAAAGGGGTTCACGGCATATGCACAAAAATTCTTTTCTGCATGTGTCACCTGTTCTACTCACAATGCAGGCAGGTCCGTGGGCGTGTCCAGCCAGGCTTCACACCCACCACCAACCCGCCCGTTTGAGCACATTATGATGGATTTTGTGGAGTTGTCTCCATTGGAAGGTAAGAAACACTGTCTAGTGATGGTAGACATGTGTTCCAAGTGGGTTGAGGTTTTTCCATCAAGCAAATAAACCGCTACAACAGTAGCCAAGGCCCTAATTTCTGAAATCATCCCTCGATGGGGCACTCCTTCTAAAATATCAAGTGACAATGGTTCTCATTTTGTCAACCAGCTCATTACAGAATTAAGCGCATACCTGGGTATTGATTTAAAACCACACTGTGCATACCATCCAGCCAGTGGAGGGGCTGTGGAACGAGAAAATGGCACACTCAAAACCAAATTGGCAAAATGCTGTGCAGACACAGGTCTGCCCTGGACAAAAGCCCTGCCTCTAGTGTTGATGTACATGCGCATGAGAAAACGAACACGAAGCAACCTGAGTCCCTTTGAGATATTGTTTGGTTTTCCTCCTCACGTAGGAACCGAGGCACCGACGGCACCACTCCCTTCAAACTGAAAAGCAGGACGCTGGCAGGGACCATTCCAGATCCTCCTTGTCACCCAAACAGCTGTCAAAGTAGCTGAGAGGGCAACTTGGGTCCACGCGTCCCATTGCAAGAAGGTTCCAGTACCAGCAGTGGGCTCAGGCGACCCTACCCCCACAACACGTGTCAATCAACCGACACCACCGATCCAGTGACCACGGACGGGCAGTTGACCGACAGACACACAGTGCATTGTGATCTGTGTTGACTGTCTACAACGCGGATGCCTCACAAGAAAGAAGGTTGGCAGACTCCACATCCCAACGTGTACCTGCGGACCAACACAAGAAGAAGAACACGGCCAGGACCCCTCCACATAGACACAGTAGTCGTTTGTGTCACTACGGTTTTATTCCTATTATTGCTTGCTTCAGTTTCATTATCTAAGTATCTTTTGTGATTTTGTTATCAGCTATCTAAAAAGTGGTTTACATTTGCTTGCTAAACACGAGACATGGTCTCACAAAAACATTTTTTTTTTTGCAATATTATGTGTGATTAAAGAATAATCAAGAGTGGAATGTAATGGTAAAAATGTTATAACATTGTCTTGTGCTAAAGCCGTGTCTCAAGTGTCCTGTATTTGACCCTGATGTGCAAAGAGCAGCATGATACAAAATGTTAGTTTGCAGCTGTGCTCTGAGAAGGGAGGACGGTCGACTCGATCTCATAGAAGCTTCAAAACCAAGGAGTCCTCTTCATGGCCTTGGTTCATATCTTATTCTGTACGAAAGTTCTGGATCCAAGTTTTACTTTCATGTTAATTAATAATGATTTGCAGTGGCCACTGAGGATCGCGTGTGCGTGCGCGTGTGTGTGTGCTACCCTCAGCTTCACCTGGGTTCTTATCTCAACCTCTTTGCAGCTTCTCGTAGTTGGCACGGAGAATGTCCTTCATATGTGTATAAAAACTCAGCGTCTTTAGTGCTCGGAGACGCCATTTCCACAGAGCACCGTGATACGTGCCTGTGTATTTGACCTCCTGCTTGCAAGCAGTAAATGGACTTTTTGCAACTTTGATCATTCATCAAGACTCTGTTTTATCAGACAAATCATTCTCTTCTACCGAGCTTTTATTGAAATATTCCACAACAACATACTGGTTATTTTTATAACCGACCGCTGCCAGTTCAGTGTTTCTCATTATAAACAGGGGTGAGCCCCCCACCCCGTAAAAAGTCAGAACCCCCCCCCCCCCCCCCATGACGTAGTAAACCTGGGGGAGACAGTGTAGTCTACATAAACATAAAAGAATAAGTATTGATTACTCGTAAGTTTAATTAGAAACAAAATCTGGGTTTGCAGTGTGTCCCCTCATTTTTTCCACAGGCTATGAGCCGGCCTGTGACAATAGCATTTAATTCAACTGAACTGAATCTCCCCCTTACACCCTAAATGTCTGTCTCTCTAAAACTACTGGACTAAACTACTACTCTAAAACTAAAACTACTTACTGCTTTATGGGACAATACATGTTTGTGCAAAATATTCAAGTCAGTAGATAAAATGTCGTAGTACGCCACCAGAGTAATTTATAACAGTGATGGTGGGATAAATATTAAACAACTTTCCTTGTATACACAGCTGCAGAAAACAACAACATCCAAGTGAGCATGAAGCCGATATTAATTCAAGTAAATGATCACCTTTTCTGTTTCAAAGGTATTTTGCCCGGCGGACGAGGGGGCAGGAGTGTGTTGATCCAGATATGAAGCAAATGCCTATTCCCTCCTTTCAGTGAATAAACAGCCTCCCTTCATCGCCGACTCATTCGGAGGTCAACACATACAACCAGCTTTCTTAACAAAGAACTTTGCACGCAAAAAGGATTTTCTGCTTAAAATAATGACATTATGCTTGCCGGTGATACTAGCATGTTGGTGACAGTACATTTCAATTATTTCATGTGGTGAGTCATCCTTTTCCTCCATTGTCGTTTCTTTGGTTGAAGATCGTGCGTTTTTTACTTGCTGTGGACAAAACAACCCTTTCCTTGATGCTCCTACGGGTAGCTTTAAAAAAATATGACTTATAGCATTTGCTAGTTATGAGGAACCTTTACATGCTGTCACCATGGGTTTACATTGTGGAATCCTCAAAATAATTGTCATCTTTATCATGTGTTCAATCCCTACAGACACCCAAGATATACTTTTTGCTTAACAAATAAACATCTGTTTTGATATAACTCTAAAATAAAGGCGGTGTTGTGCAGGCTTTACCAACAGCCATAAGTTATTTTTACAGCACAGACACAAGTGTTAACAGCCATCTTTGTATCTTTGATATAATTCCCATGCTTGGGAAATCTTGTCGGAGTTCTGCATTATTGTCGTTATGATCGAGTTCCAGTAACAGTTGCTCGGCGCATCGGGCACAGGTCCTTGAAACAAATCCCAACGAGGAGGATCAGTCAGTCCGATTCCCAAATGCTTCATGCACAGTCCCACGGAGACATCTTCGACGTAAACGGTTTTGACGTGAGCCGAGGCCTCCACTATCCTGTGAGGTAAATCCAGAGAGAACACATAGCCCAGTCCCAGGGCATACGGGGGGAAAAAGGGCTCAGGGAAGACTGAAAGCGGCAGATACCACTTTGAGGTGGGGTCTCGAATAACAGGCGCATGCCTCGCCACCATTCCCGTCAGGTACAGGTGTGGGGGGGCTTTCAAAAGCATGTCAACCAGGTTGTGGACGTTAAGGAACATGTCCGCGTCGACTTTCATGGCGTAGGAGGCGTTAGGGCAACGGGAGCTGAGCCACTCAAACATCACCATGGTTTTAATGGTGAGGTTATTGTAGCTATCCAAAAAGTCACTCTGGAGAATGTCATGATGTCTCTGGCTTTCCTGCAACATCTACAAAGGGGGAGATAGCAGGCAGAGGTTAGAGCAGAAATGAATTGCTTCATTGGACACTTAGGACGTTGACTAAACAAGCTCTGCAAATTGCTTCTTCATAGTGTAGCAGGTTGACTAGTCGCAGGTGGTTTCAATCACTTCACTCTCTGGACCACTCAGGAAGTAACTGCATGCCATGGGGGGGGGGTTGACCCCGTTACTTTGTTGCTGGAGGTACATTTCCGTTCTGGGTCGTCTCGCGTTCGTGCCGCAGTCACGGTTGTGCAACAGTGTCTCCCCGTTACAAACCCAATCTTTCCTTTAACGCCATCGGGTTGAGTGTTGCTGCTGGCTCTGTGTAGCTGTACTATCGGCACTGCAGGTGTATTGGTGGGAAGCTCCCTGACGGGGTTGTAAAATTGCGTCGCGTGCGCTGGTATCTGCACCAGCCCCTCCCGTCCCTGCCACGCTGCTGTTTTGTCTCCGCTGACTTTGGGTTTCAACTACGTTGAACGGGTTGTAGCTTCACAATCTTCCTCCAGGCGTTGAACGTCTCTACGCGCCTCACAGCGCCCGGATCTGTTGCTTAAAGTGTCTGACAGGGCGCTCCGCCCCGAAAGAGTTCCACTCGCCACAATCGCAACAAAACCAGGTTCAGGGAGAGATTGGTAGATACTAAATAATCAAAGGGGTCAACTTAAAAAGATAAGTTTAATTGTTGCCGTACACTTTTGAGTAGAGACAAATTGGATTTACAATTCGGTTTTGTGTTTAATTTGGCTATGGATTGCTCTCTAAGTACACATGACTGTATAGTACATTTCAACACATAGTTTGAAGGAAATGTTAAAATGACTTTCCTAGTTAATTTTACTTGAAAGTATGCATTGTTTCACATTTATAGTTCTGGGAAACACCATGTCTTGTGGCAAAAATCACATTTATTTCTTGCAAGTTTTTTTTACAGTGATAGGTCATTTTGGTTAAAATCACCACAGCAGTCCCATAAGCACCAACACCACGTAACGTGAAAAGAAATCAACCTTGGCTTCTCCCTTCTCCTCCCGTACCACCTGGCACGGACTTTTGTGCTTACGGCTTCACAATGTTGTGGTTAACCAAGCCGTTCGCCCGGATATCTATGCAACGGGTAGTTGCACACTGTTGTACTGAAGTCACAGCACACACAGAAACCGGTTTAATGCTGGAATGCTTCTCCCCACTTGATAGCTATGCTGGTTGCTGTGTTGACAGCGACCGAAAAAGCAAATTGAGTTACTTGTAATAAATCAACTTACTTGCTCTTGGATGATTTCTGTGCCATTGGTCTCTTTGGACATTCCCAAAAGGAAGAAGTGGCTGATCACTCTGCCCAGCACTTTTGTCTCTTTGACCCAGGTGTTACGTAGCGTATCACGGGCCTCTCTGTTGTGGGGCGCCACTGGGATCATAAGAACCAGGAATGGGCTTTCTTTCCGACATCTATGTGGTTCGTCTACCACCCAACGGTAGGGGTGCCGGTACGCCACGTGGTAAATCGAAGGGGGATCTGATGATATCTGTGCAAACAGATGATGTTTCCGTTTGGTTGGTTTTGCACTTGAATGATTTCTCTTTTTGTTTGTTTCATGTACAAAGACAAAACCTGAAGTTGTAAAGGACATTTTTCAACTATCGCTTTTTTAATCTAATTAATTATCTAATTAGCTTCAAGTTGTGTTTTCACATCTTAAAGCTACATTATATATATATATATCCCTGCACATTTGTATCGTATTAAATGAACATGACAATTTTTTCTTTTCTCAAACATATTTTTATCGTAGCAGATGATGAAACAATGTTAATAGGGTTGTCTTACTACTAATGACATGTATTTTCAGATAAAAAGGGAAAAAGTACATTTTCTTTGTTTTGTTCATTTCAAGAGCTGTCCTTGTTTCAAGATGAAAGCAAATATACTTACATACTGCACTGTAGTAGCTATACTGTTGTAAGACTGGTTTGACGAAAACATCAGAGGCCATGGCACTTTGAGGCTCGAAGTGTAGAACATTAATGTGACCGTCCCAATCATGAGGGGCAGCACCACACAAACAAAGCATCGTCTCGTTCCTGTCCCAGGAGTCTTTACAGTGCCAAGAAAAAGTTATATCATTAATACCTCATAACCTCACATGACGGGAACTCCAGTCTATTACCCGATTGGAATTAGGAAAATAATATTGCTTTCCCCTTGACCTGTAATTGAAGCGGTCCTCATTAGTTATGATTTATGTGTAAATATCGGTTATGTTCAGAAAACCTTTAGGCTGGGACAAAGAACTTCAGGATTTGTTGAGTTATAATTAAGTGGTTTTAAGAACTGATTTATGGGTTTGTTGAACAGGGACAGAGCTGGCTCTGGGTTGGTTAAAAGTTGTTGCAAAGGCAATGTAAAAACTATCTTGTGGCCTTCATTGTGATTCACTCTTTTCCTGAAACACCCTACTTTCGATGACTTCCACATTTTAGGCTAACTGGTGTTCTTATAAGTTACTGATACACGATGCCACAAGGCAGACAGTCTTTGTTGTTGTTCGGCGTACAGAAAATGTACACTTAGACATGATGTCTCTGAAACATAAAATGAGTTTGACACCCCTGCTGTACAGGCGCTTTTTGAGAGACTGGACTGGGGACAGCCCTCATGGAACATTCTAAATATAGCATCTTTCTATCAACAGAAGAAAATAAGCTCCAAACCCACACCACCATTTATGGAGCAGTAAAAGAGTCCACATTTCCTGTCACAGGCTCCTTTCCGACATTTCGATTAGGTTATTCGTAGTGCATCATGAGACTCTCACAAGATGGGGATTTGGAGTGTGCAAACATCCCAGAGATTCCTGTTCCTCATTTGATTAAACAAACACTATCAACCGTTACTGTGCTAAACGGCATAAATTCCACATGTTCAAACGTTAAGGCTAAAGGATCATGCCCCTTCCTGTTTAAACCGACACATTCTAAGAAGCAGGCATGCACAGGCTTGTTTTTTAACCACAGTATTGTGGGTTTAGAAAAGCTGCTCTCATTGTAGTCCTCAGGTCTGTGTCAAAATACAAAGGGTCATTTTCATGCATTTATATAAAATAATAAAAATCAGTCCAGTTTGCAAAAGCAAGCATTTACTTATGTATAATTGTACAAATTCAACTGAGGAAAATGTTTTTTAGAAATTCTTATATAATAAATGAAAAAACATGAATGTGATCAAATCAGAATAAATGCCCCCTCTGAAACCAGGGGCGAGGGAATTAGAGTTAAGAAGTAACCGATATTTTTTGCATTTCAGACAAGAACTCCAGTGTTTGAAGGGAGTAGAGACTACTGAAATCCAAACAGACTGATCCATTTTAACAACGGCTCGATACTATTCACAATCAAAGATTTCCCTTTCAAGAAGAACAAATAGGCTAGGAATTCCCTCTATAGCCATTTAAAGTTAATATATTATAATTGAATAAAAAGCTTAATTAAAATCACGACTTACCATTTGGAAACAGACTTTTACAGCATTTTGTGCAGAGAAAAATCGACAACTGTGACAGCCTCGGACCATGCAGCATGAATACAAGAATGAGGATGTTGCGGTGGATGTCTCACTTTTTGTGAATATATTGGGGGGTTGTGGCGGTAGTCTGGTGAGTTGCGCCCACTGTCTACTTGCTACCAGACAACACAATGCAGAGAAAAAGGAGAAGTTAGAACAGGTCCACATAGTTGTTTTACATACCAGGTGCTGGAAATGTTTTGCCTTATACTAGTCAGACCGGTTGAGTGTGTGTTGCAAGGGCGTAACTATGGTTTAGACATTGGGGGGGTCCAAATGAATACCCTTCCACATATTTTTGTTTGTTACTGTAAGTGCATTGCCTACAATTCTATATTTCTATATGAAAATTTAAAACATGGTTTCGAGGACAACACTGACCATTTGAATACACATCTAAAAGGAATAGTGTAATTTCTGCAAGACAGTGACTTCCCCCCCACCTTGTTTTGGTGAGTTCAGCATGTCTCCTTGCCTCCTTGTCTCTCTGTGCTGCCTGCATTGTAACCACATGTCATTTTATCAGAAGAACAGAGACTGACCTTCATGATCTATCATTTAATATTCTGCTTTTACGAGGCTAGTTGTTTATTTGCTTACACATTCAGCTCAGTATCAAGTTACTTACTGTCTGGCTGCTGGTCCAGTTTTCATACGCTTTTTAGGTAACCTCAAATCCTCCATTACCTCAAAGTCTCCTCTGCTTGTCTTTTCTCTGACTCTCTCTCTCCAGCATCCATCCACCCGTCACGTCCTCCTCCACCTCCTCAGGCAACATCGCAAACCAAACCCCTGGTCCCATGGAGCCCGAGCCCAGCCCTTGTGTCCCCATTGACCAAAGCTATGAGTCAGAACTTCAGTATCCAGCTACAGGCCAGCTCCCACCGGTCAACAAACAGTACATTGTTCTTGGGGGTCCCTGGACTCGAATCCCAAAACAAATGTGTTTATGCCAGCAGCAACAGTGTTGCGGCGCAGAGAAAAGGAAGAGAGAAAGAAAATACTTAATACAATGATGATGATGTTGAAATATCTCAAACCTGTTTGTTCTTATGTGTATTCCTGAGATAAATAGAGATGTGGAGGCCTGTGGACCGGGGACTGCGGGGGGGGGGGGGGGGGACAAAATGAGTGGAGCAGGATCTGACTCAACGGCGTTACTAAGCAGGTTAAGCAAGTTAAGCTGCCGCAGAACCGGACCTCCGGGTTGTTATTTTGTTTTTGACACGAAGTATAAGTGCCCCAGAACTACAAGGCTACAAATGTTTTGAAAAGTCTGTTGTAACCACACGCCGCCACAACATCACTTCCCTCTCAAAACCCCTTCAAACCAAACGGCGTCATCCTCACACACAACTCCTTCATTCTTGCTGTAAAGATCCGTGCATAATATTAATGACTAATAAACAACACAATTGCCGTTGACGTATACCATCAAGCGAAAAATACATTGTGTACTATCATAGACATTCTGCTAGTTTGTTAAGTCTGACCAGCTAGTGAAGTTAGGTTAGTGGAGGCATTCATTTTAAATGTTCATAAAAATGTCTATGGCATTACTTCACTTTCTAACAAAGCTTTTTTAATGTATTATCAACAGTGAAAATGTCAGTGGGGCATTAGCTCAAATGGTAGAGTGCTCGCTTAGCATGCAAGATGCATCCTACATTGTTCCTTATCTTATTGTAAGTCGCTTTGGATAAAAGCGTCAGCTAAATCACATCTAATGTAACTTATCATTTTACTGGTGGAACTGTTGTTCAGATCGGCGCCCCGCATGTTGATGACGTATTATGATTCTTCAGGAAAGTTTGTTTGTAGTATCCTTGGCAAACGGAGGACTAAACATGGGTGTACTTTACACGAGTGAACTAGCTTGCGGAAAAAAATTATTATACTACTAAGTTTTCTTGCTGGACCAGTCTAGCAAGTCAACAGCTGCCTCATCTTGCTGTGAAAAGTTTATTTCTGAGAATGACTGAGGAAGAATCTGATGCCTTTTCGTTTGACACTTGGAATTTGGAAGACGTGGAAATCCCGAGAATTGCAGGCCGCACCCGTCACCACAGCACCAGTGAAATCTAGTTCAAGCAGAAAAACTTGCTGGTCTGTACTCTGTACAGCTTGTACTGTGTATACAAGCAACCAAGGTGAGGGGACCTAGATAACCGCACATTTACGTTCCCCAGCCGGTCCTCATTTATTCCACCTGATGACGTCTCAATTTCTAACCTTTACGATGACCTCTTTGCAGTTCGTTCCAGAGAAATTGTTGATTGCACCGCATTGGCTATCGCACCGATAGTTCAGCCGACTGGAAACGGATTAAGCACAGCGTACATTTACTCACGTATGTGGGAATGCACGCTAGAAAAACCACACCTGTGAGACATGAACTTTTGCCCTCTGTGGACAGTCATTGGTTTGACTTCCTGAAATGCTAGTCAGAAAGTTGTTCTATGGAAGCAGATAGCATAGATTTTAGTTAAGAAATGTGATGCGGTATGGTGAAAGATATGATTCGTCTCCGGTTAGACACAAATAGTGAAAGCAGAGAAGGAAGCTCTCCCTCCGGTGTGTGTTCTTGCACATGAAAATAAACAGCTTCTAAGAAACTTATCTTAATTTTATCCTGATTATTAGCCAAGGGTAAGGAACAAATCTTTTTTCGAGTCATTCGTTCATGTCGGCGGGGGTGGTGAGGCAAGATGAATTCCTGCATTAAAATAATTACTCCCGACCGTGTCTTCGGGTCAATGTTTCGTTCATTGAGCATATATGCAAGTCCCGAGAAAATTAACTAATGTTTTTTTGAGAGGACTCGTTACTCTCGAGTCCTTGTAAGGATTCGTTCAAAATGAACAAATCGTTCACGAACGACACATCACTACTCCCCTGGGCACAAGCAACCAGATACCAGCAGTTACTGGTTCTATAGTAACAAAAAGGACTCGAGCAAGTGAGCTGGCAGCCAGGTTAGTTGTTGCATAGAAGCAGTGCGAAAGGAGTGGCACACAGGATCATTATCATGACAGTTGAGGAAACGTTTTACTCTCTGGTTCTGAAATAAACCTAAAACTGTGTAAATAGAGGGGGTAGAAGAAGGAAGAAATAACATTTGTGTCAGACGACAGACATCCAAGATGTACAAAACACCTCCTATATTTTTTTATTTGCTTTCAGTTAAATTAGTTCAACCCATATATCCAAAGAATAGTCAAATAAATGAGCAAAAATGAAAAGACAACCACTATACTTTATATTGCCATTGAATATAACTCAAATAATTATAAATGGTATCAAATCTCAAATATCCAGAGTTCATTAGTTTAAATAAGACAATGACAGTTCCTTGTTTAAATTCAAACATTATCCACTTTGCTTAAATATTATGGTAATAATCTTTGTTTCTTAAAGCTCAAAAAGAAAAGTGTGGTCTGGTTCAGCTTGCAGTCCGACTCTGGATGCAGTGGAAGCCCCCTTTGGCTGATTGGTAGTAGTCTCAAATCCAGAGTGACAGGTTCAAAGCACCAGTCCGTTAGCAGGGTCTTACTGCTGTGAGCACCCACCAGTCTGTACACATATCCATCTATCAATCCACCCATGCATCCATCCACTCACCCATCGATCAATCCATCTTACCACCAATGAAGAGCGGAACATAATGAAAGCATAAAAGAGGCTCCGAGTCTCACACAAATAACATAAATTCTAAAGAACAAATCACTGTTGTGTATAGGTCTATGCATAAGTTATGGAAGCTGTACAGAGACTATTGAGAGACTAACAAACATTAAAAACAAAGACTGGTTATAATGTTCACCAACCTTCTAAAAGCATACACTTCTTAAATATAACAACAAAAAATAAACATGTTTTTGGAGGGATATCTCTTTTTTACCCCCCAGCCGTTTTTATCATTTCTTAATGGCCGGACAGAAAACAAATAGAATTCATTAACAAATGTTTTTTCTCCCTCCATATAAAAAGAGGCTGCGAGAAAGGATTGTGTCGCTTACTCTTTTATCTATATTTGTTTGATTATTTTCCTTTTTTATCTAAATGGGTGGTCATGCAAATAGAAAAAGTCCTCCATGATTTTGGCTCGGTGATAAAACCTGTTTGGTTGCTCGTTGGCCACGTCGCCTCTTGGTGAGTTGTGTAGTTCCTGATTATTGGGTTACACGGTGAGCTAGCTGGTTTGCAGTCTTTCTTTTAGCTCGAGAAGGAGCTTCCAGTCAGCTAGCCTTAGCGACTACCTCTGCATATACACCAGCTAACTGTGCTTTCCCAGTAAGTTCAGCAATTGTTTCACACATGACTTATTATCTTAATATTCTTGCTGGAATCCATTTATTTTTGGTCAACCATTTTAGCTCCTAAGTACCAAAAGCAGGAATTTTATTTCAAGAGGTTGACTTGTTGTTTTAAGGTGGACTGGTATTCCTCGAAGTCTGCCACGCTTATTGACGAGCCACCAAGACCACAGGTCGATGGATGCACTGCAGTCGACATTCTGAGATTATGCTACTTTTGTTTTTCTATGGAACACTATTTACGAGCAGTCAAGCAGCTGGCGAATCAGCAGCTTTCCCCACGCAGGTTCAAGACACTCCGGGGTCCAACTTATTCGGGTTACAAGGGAAGCACTCCCGCTCGTTCTTACATACAAACTCATCGTTAAAGTATCCTGAACCATTTCATTGACTAGTCCACTTCCTGTTCAATCCTGTGGTCAGACTCCAAATGCGTATGACCAGTAATGTTGTTTCATATTTCTGTGTCTCTATGCAGTCTGCAACCAGTATGTCCAAGAGTCTCAGCGCACTCATCTGTTCAATCGGCAGGCAGTCCTCAAGTCAACTGTTCGCTTATGAAAAACAAGACTGTACACCATCCAAAAAGCCAATGAAAAAACCCGTCGACCAACCAGTCCCTTCCATTTCCAAAACCGGCTGTAAATACAGTCTGTGAACTGGTTTGTAATCCAGTAAAGGTGGAGCAGTCTACCAGATGTCAGAGCTTAGTTCTCTGCTGGTGAGCGGTACAAAGGTGCTGTTCAGGTGGAGTTCTGGCTTCTTCCCGAGGGTACTGCTCTGAGTCACCTGGAAAAAACAAATCACAACGGTGATCAGAAGAAACGCTCCCCCAAGCTACAACTCTGAGCAAGAAATCTATTGTTAAAAAGAGCACACAGGGTCTGTAATTCACCAGTATATACAGACTTATTGCACGAAAATGCACCAAGCCTCATATATATATATGACAACTGCAGTGTCTGTGACAGCTATTTCCCAGTCGAAAAATATCATTGTATATTTTAGATTGGATAATATGAAGTTACTATGTTAATTCTACTTTCTTTTATCCAAACAGACCTCTTGTTCCCCAGTGATCTGCTCTGAACCCCTGGGGAGAAAAGAGGGGTTTTATTTTTAATTTGATGAAACTCTTGATTACATGCACATGTCAAGAAGTAAAGGATACTAGAAACTATTGAGGAACTGCAGAGAAAACTGAAGTGGTCCTGTCGTTTTCCCCCCACCTGTCCATTCAGTAGTGTCATAGGGATGTTGCAATAGACGTGGCGCCCCCCGGGGCCCAGCGTGGAGAACTGCACTGTGGAGAGAGATGGAAGGGGAGGCGACATGGAGGGAGGCTGTGGGGGAAGCTGGAACTCGTAGCTGCGGCAGAAATGCCTCATTTGTGCAGCTGTGGCTGTATGGCCGCCTCCCAGTGGCAACGTCATCTGATTGTAGTCAGGGATCTCTGTCGCTAAGGCAACCTGTAATGAGGAAACATGACTTTGTGTTAACTCTTATAGAGTATTATTACAAGAGGCAATTAAAGCTCAGTTTTTTAATCCAATACTTCAATTTCCAGATGAACTTTGGAAGCAAGTAATCATCTTTGGCTGCAGTCTGGTTGAATAATTGTGGATCATTAAACTTTATTGTCAGACAATGATGGAAATACAAGCAGTGTAACTGCCTTGGGACTTCTTTTGTGATGCTCTCCCAGGGACAGAGGAACCTATTACATTTCAAATGACATGCCCATAGTCTGCATAAATGCCATTGCTTTTCTTTTTTTCCTTTTTTTAAACATAGGAGAAGGTGAATATTAATGTTTTCATTTTGCACACGCCCAGGGTCACTTTCAGGAAGCGGGTTTGGTGGAAAGTTTGTTAACCCTGAGATGAGGGAAACTCTGGCTTGTCTGTTTCATAAAGGGAGGTAACTAAAGCTCAGGGTCAGTCACCATGGTAACAGAGCCTGTGAACATAACCTGGTCGGGAGCAGGTTTTCTTCAATAAACCTTGAGTTTTTTTCACAGTCTCCTCCCTCTGACAGCAGTATTTTAGCGCAGTTTCCACATATGTACAAAATAAGATGTTACGTTAATGTTAAAAGTGTTTTCTCGGACATGGCACGTCTTTTTCTGGACGATCCTGCTGATGAAGAAGCAGTATTACTTTGCAGGGCGTTGAACATACGTCGGGAGAGAATATTGAGACCCCGATCATATATTGTCATTTCCAGATAACTACTTGTTTGAACGGTATCAATTTTCTTCACAGTCCATCAAATATGTATATAACCTCATCCTCATATAACTAACGTCACTCATCGTGAGAGCATGTCCACGAGGGGGGACGTTAGTTATTTGAGGACGGAAGAGGTTATGTACATATTTTATGGACTGCGAAGAAAAACTATATCGTTCAAACAAGTAGTCATCTGAAAATGACAATATATCTAATTGGGACCTCAATATTCTCTCCCGACGTGTTCAACACCCTGCAAAGCAAAACCGCTTCTTCATCAACAGGATCGTCGAGAAAAGGACGTGCCATGTTCAAGAAAACACTTTAGTCTTTAACGTAACATCTTATTTTGTGCAAATGTAGAAACTGCGCTAAAATACGCATGATACAGAGTACTTGAAATAAAATAAAACTGGAAATAAAAGCACGCTGTGTGATTGGCTGGGCTGCTGTCAGAGGGAGGAGACTGTGAAAGAAACCTGAGGTTTATTGAAGAAGTTAGGTTATGTTCACAGGCTCAGTTACCATGGTGACTGACCCTGAGCTTTAGTTACCTCCCTTTTGGAAACAGACAAGAGTTTCCCTCATCTCAGGGTTAAACAACTCTTGAGTTTCCACTAAACCCACTTCCTGAAACAGACCCCAGAGATCTGCGTGGGATACTTTGTTTGCTTGGTTTTGCAACATGCGCGAACATCTCACACAGACACCATGTTCGCGCCACTGTGACACAGGTACATAAGCTTATAAGTAACATATGAAGTAAACCACAGCTGACCTGATGATGTCCATGGCGGCTCTCATTGGGGGGACCCAAGGAGGCGGAAGTGGTTGTCATGGCAATAGTGGAGACGGTGGTCTGGAGATCGCCAAAGAGGCCCTGTTCACCGGAGTCCATCACCTGTTACCATAGAAACTCAGTTGCATTGTTTTTTACTCTGCCTACAAATGATTTAGTAGTCAACGGGATTTTATCTTGAAGACACCACAGAAGTAGGAAATATATTTGGCTCATCTTTTAAGATAAGACACATCTCAGTAAAAGAACACAATGACCATTTGTATAACAACTTTACTGATGTATTCATCTGAGCTTCATTTCTGTTCAAAAATTCTTAAATACTGACAACAGCACCAAATGTATATGTGTCGTTTGTTGAAAGCAGTTTGCAACATAAACCACAGTTTACTGTTGATTTACTACACTCTGTACACAGAGAGGATCTGGGAAGTTAAGACCTGGACACACCTTTGCTCTGTTGACATTATGAAAAACAGGGAATAACATCTCCTCATTATTTAAGAGGATTACGTTAATTTGTATCAAGCCTGAAGTTCCCTGTGTAGTATCGTGTCCTGCATCCTGTATTTGTGGAAGGTGACTCTGGAATGGACAATTGCCACATGTCTTATAGCATACCTCACGAGAGACACTACAACTGCATACTGTGTATAGACATCCACATTAAGAGTGGTATAAGTGTAGACTAAAGCCAGAGGTTCATGAAAATACAAATATGATCGTATCATAGTCTTTGTTTGTGTCCTATGGGGGTGTCCTATCTTTTAAAGGTTCGCTCCGTTGCATTTATGTATTTAGTTCATTTCAGTTAACGCGATCCAAATCCCAGTGAACCAGGAGAGGGAAACAAACATGCATTCAGGCGGTCCATAAAATGTCATCCTCCAAGGTTGCGGTTGGTTGTGGGTAAGTTCAAAACACAGCTGATGTCAATCTGCTGAGCATTGATGCATCACCTCCATTTCTTGGATGCATCATTTCTCAAGAACTTCGGAAAGGTTGACGGCCCGTGAATACTGTTTTGTTGTAACAGGTTCTGCAGATGATCGGATGTCGATGGCCAAGTGCCAAAGCCCTGGTGGGGTGTGTTACAATGGCACTCGTCTCACCTAGGGTAATAAACAAAACTAAAGATTTGGCGTTCCATCTGTTCCACTCTTATAATTCACTCCTTATTTGTGTCTCTGAGATTATTCTCCGGTGCCGAGCAGCAGCGGAACATCTCTCTGCTAATCGGGGCGTACGGCACCCGAGGTGTTAACACATGCTAAACATGTACACATTTCTTCCCCGCTGTGACTCCGATCTTCATACATTACCTGCATTTAGCAGACATTTCAAATGCCATCTGTTGTTTGTGAGTGCATGTGTCCTTAGGGGGGAATAAGTAAACCTGCAGACATCCTCAGCTAGTTTTCTTTTCTTTGAAAGGCTCAGGCTTTGTAGGGTTTCAGTGCTTGTTCTTCAGAACGTGCAGATTTAAATGTTCCCACTCGTAATGTTGTTCTTATACTCAGTTGGGTCTGATGCAAAAGAAGCTTCATGTAAAAAGCTGAGGTTCTGCTCACGCAAACACCGGCTGTGGTATCTGAACATTTTAGACTGCCGTTTACATACCTGGCGTCTAGACAACGTCTCTCTGCGTTTAGCAGGCATCTCGTAGACCACCTGTTTCCAAAACTTAGACGACAGCTCGTTGCTCTTCGGCCCCCTCCACTTGATGATGGATAGAACCTGAGGAAGGAAACCAAATATTGTTGAGTTGTCTTATTGCCTCCGGGTGTTGAATGACGCCTTTTGACTCAATGCCCTCGCTGTTTGTACCTTGATTGTATGTTTAAGTGCTTCCACCTCTTGGTAGTTGATGACATTCTTCAGGTCTGCACACTCCACCATGATCACCTGGACACACACAAACGAGGAGCGTGTAGGCGTTTGAGAAGCTTTTCGAGCATCTCTCACATTTCTCGATCATCACCTTGATCCCCCCGGTAACCAGCATGGAGTGGAGGCGCGTCTCAATCTGGAAGATGCTCCAGCCTCTCTTAGCGACGAACTCCGGAGTCAAAACAATGATCAAACGTCTGCTTTGCTCCACGCTGCGAGCCAAGTCCTCGATGTAGGCTGGTGGGGGGAGGGGGTCGGGGCAGAGGAAGAGTTAGAAAGGGGCCTCATTTGTCTGCAGATCGGGAAGTGGAACTCATATCTCTTACTGACTTCACATGAGAACAAGAATGAGCAAACATAATCTAGTTTCGTTAATACTGAGAGACAAAACACTTGTCAGCATCTTTAAAGTTGTGCATTTATAACTGGTAGAAACAACGTGAAACCAGGATGTGATAACATCAGCAAGTATCTTGAAAATGTGTTCAAAGTTGGAAGCCCGGCTAGTGGGAAGCCTGTCTGCAAGAATTCAGCCAAACAACTCTCGTTCTGGAAGATTTATTTGTCAGATCAAGAATCAGCGGTGCGTTTGCAAAGACAGAAGCAGTTCTGTCGGCCCGCATGCTGGAAGAACAACTAACTAACATCAGGAAGAACAGGTTTTGTTGTATATATAGAAGATTGACCCTAAACTGGCGTTGTGGAGGAGCAGGTCCTCCCACCGCAATACTAGATCCAATCACACACAATGTGTGGTCTCAGGAATCAGGAAACAATTATTGCCAAAATATGTCCTACATACAAGGAATTTGACTTGGCGGTTGGTGCGTGACAGTAGACAGTATGACAATAGACAACAAGACAGCAGTGCACAAGTAATAAAATAAAGTAAAATGCTAATGCTATGGGTTATTAGAATAACGCCATGGGATAGTTTAAAATAAAAGAATAAAGTTAAAAATATTTAAAAATTAAAAAATAAAGTGCACTAGCGAACAGGAAGTGACAAAAATGACGAGTGAGAAATGACAGTTAAAGTGGCATGTGCAGTATGAAGCAGAGTGACCGGTGGAATGTTATAGTCAGTCAGTGTGGGCCCGGGCTCTGTTGATGAGCCCGACTGCCGACGGGAAGAAACTGTTCGTGTGGCGGGAGGTCTTAGTCCTGATGGACCTCAGCCTCCTGCCAGATGGAAGGGGCATAAACAGGTTTTGTCCGGGGTGGGAGGGGTCGGCTACGATCTTTTTAGCTCGCTTCAGAGACCTGGAAGCGAACAAGTCCTGCAGGGACGGCAGATTGCAGCCGATCACACTCTCTGCAGAGCGGATGACACGCTGCAGCCTGCCCTTGCCCTTGGCTGTGGCTGCAGCGTACCAGACGGTGATGGAGGAGCAGAGGATGGACTCCATGATGGCCGTGTAGAAGTGGACCATCATCGTCTTTGGCAGGTTGAATTTCTTCAGCTGCCTCAGGAAGAACAACCTCTGCTGAGCCTTCTTGGTGATGGAGCTGATGTTCAGCTCCCACTTGAGGTTCTGGGTGATGATGGAGCCCAGGAAACGGAAGGAATCCACAATAGTGACGGGGGAGTCACACAGGGTGATGGGGGAGGGTGGGGCTCTGTTCCGCAGGAAATCCACAACCATCTCCACTGTCTTTAGAGCGTTGAGCTCCAGGTTGTTCTGACTGCACCACGACACCCGATGGTCAGACTTCCACTGTAGGGGACTCATCCCCACCAGAAGATAGTCCAATGAGGGTGGTGGTCATCCGCAACTTC